CACCTGGATGACACTGATAAGGAGCCTAACTAGGCTGGGGTGGCAGGGTGTGGCACCCCAGCCTAGTTAGGCTTGATCGGACACGAATCTTCGCCTCCGGACTCGCCTCTTGTTTCGTCGCGACTTTCAGAGGCCTCGAGTCTCTCGCGGCCCCGTCTTCCGTCGTCGTCATCGGAGGCGTTCCGAGGCCTGCCCCTCGCCACATCTCCTCCCCGGCATCCCCGTCAACTTGCCCCTATAGCGCCACTCACCCTACCTTCCTCCGACTCAGCGCCGTACTCGACGTCGTCGACGACGATTGCCTCAACTCAAGGCTGCATGTGCGCTCTCTGACATGCTCGAGCGTTCGTTGTCGCGCGGGTTCTGCCGTGGGATTTCCCACACGCTCGTGTGCTGTCGTTGTCGCGTCGTGCAGGCTGCTCGTCGCCGCTGTGCTCGACGATGAGCACGGTACTTCGGTCGCCCGTGCTTTTTTTGCACAACTATTTTTGTAGCACCAATGTAGATACTATGCTTGTGCTCTCTCAGCTCTCGGGCATGTGTTTTAATGGCAAATAAATCGAATTCTCATTATTTTCTCATGTGTGGCCCAAAATAAAAGCGAAAAATATAATCTCAAGGAAGTGAGGGAAAGCAAATCATGATGAAACTTGGATCAAGGTAGTGATGGGTTGATCTGAAGTTTTTGTATGTGGTTCCAGTAAATCTAGGTGTTGTGGAATGGTATGTGACAGAGGTAGGAGGTTTGTGAGGAGGTCATGAAGGGATGGAGAGACTACCATGCTGCCAAGAGCAGATATGTGGATATAATGATATATATGTGTGTATACTGGTAGGAGGTTGTAGGCTGAGTAGCTTTTGGGGCAGTAGAAAGGGTAGGGTGGGTAGAGGTTGGGTGGCACTCTGGAGGGGAGATGGGTGTATGACATACCTGGTAGAGAAAACCAAGCAAGAATGAATGCATGGAAGGAGTCTACTCACCTTAGAGTACCCTATTACAGCCCATACTACACCAACTCTAGTCTCAAAGATAGCCTGAGTTCGAAAATTGTGAAGGAGAGGGTCACTTGAGGGAGGCCCATGTTGACCGGCGACCGGACATCGTACAAAGCGAGATATACGCACAGCAGGTGAGATGAGAGCTCCTTGATATCGAAAGATAACATAGACAAGATATGAAGTTGATGAGAGGAGCGGACAGTTTACAGTCGTCGACGCAGGTTAGAGCCTCTGAAGGCCATCAGTCCGACGTCGGCGACAGCGTGGAAGACGAGCACGACAATCCGAGGACAGATGAAGCTTAGAGAGTGTTAAACAGAGCTTGCCCGGCGAGGCCTATCAAAAATCCGGGGCGATTCGGAATGTGTGTGGTGGAGGAATCGTCGTCGGTGGTGGTGGTGGTAAGCGCAAAAGGCGGGAACAACGCTAAAACAACTTGCGCAAACACGTTTTGGAGTGCGCTTGTCACTTTTGATTGACTCCACCACCTCTATCTTCGACACCTCCACCGTACACTCCTCGAATTCCATCAGACCTTTCGAAGATCATATACTGCGTACTCATCTTCACCCTCGTGCTTTTTCCGAGCTCTCGGACCAGTTTCTTCGTCGTCCACGTCGTCGGGAACGATGCGCACTCGGCTTCCGCGACCGTTACAACTGCGTCAACGACCGCTCGCTGCTCGCTCTCGCTGTTGTCTCCATAATTTACCCATCTCATCACTCAATACCAGAGAGCTCTATTCTCGCTTTTGGTGTCTGAATTCCGTCTTCTGCAATCTCCAGTCACTGTTCAACATGGACCTCCCTCAAGTGACCCTCCCTTTCACAAATTTCGAAATTCGGACTTTTTGGAGGGCGGAATTGGTGTAGATTTGGCTGGAATAAGTTGATTTATGGTGAGCAGACTCTATCTATGTGCTAGCTTCTACTTGATTCTTCTTGGCTGAGGTGTGATATCCCTCATCTCTCCTCCTGAGTGCCACTCAGCTCCCACTCTTTCTACCATTTCTACCACCCAAAAACTCGGCGTATATCCCAAGTACATGCTATTCAACATCTACCTACATGTTCTTATCCGTATTCATGCTCTTTTCAGGCTGCTATCTTCTACATACCCTCATGACCATTCCACACACCTTCCCCATCTGTTCCACACCCGGCCAGACCTTCTAAATTCACCAAACCCACATGCAGATACTCAGTACTTAATCACACACCATAAGCTATCACATTAGTATCAATCTCTTCCTCCTCACCTTTCAGAGATCTTGTTTTTTGCTTGTATTTTGGGCCACATGGCAGAAATCAATAAAAGTTTCGACTTATTTGAGGTCCCACTGCATTTGTGGGTGCATCCCAAGTTAAGATACTGCATTTAAATTATTTATACACAAATAAACCGGTGAAAAGGTCCACAAATGACCGAAGTACCGTGCTCATCGTCGAGCACAGCGGCGACGAGCAGCCTGCACGACGCGACAACGACAGCACACGAGCGTGTGGGAAATCCCACGGCAGAACCCGCGCGACAACGAACGCTCGAGCATGTCAGAGAGCGCACATGCAGCCTTGAGTTGAGGCAATCGTCGTCGACGACGTCGAGTACGGCGCTGAGTCGGAGGAAGGTAGGGTGAGTGGCGCTATAGGGGCAAGTTGACGGGGATGCCGGGGAGGAGATGTGGCGAGGGGCAGGCCTCGGAACGCCTCCGATGACGACGACGGAAGACGGGGCCGCGAGAGACTCGAGGCCTCTGAAAGTCGCGACGAAACAAGAGGCGAGTCCGGAGGCGAAGATTCGTGTCCGATCAAGCCTAACTAGGCTGGGGTGCCACACCCTGCCACCCCAGCCTAGTTAGGCTCCT